GTGGTGGTAGCTTCCTATTTTCATAGAGTTAGAACAACTATTACAACTTTATAGTTATAGTTATCAATGCTATTGTCCTTGGTGTGAATGGGCCTTTAGCTCTTTAGCTCCTTGAATGGGCCTTTAGCTCCTTGAATCCAGGGGCAGTCTGGGGTTAAAATGTGGCCCTGGACTTTCTGGCAAGAGCGCTGACCACACCTGGTCCGCAACACACCACACCATAAACCCACCAGCTCATTATGCACAGAGCAATTTTTAACACCACTAACTAACATAAAAATGTAACATAATATACAGAAATATAAATACTTTCTAATTTTTTTATTGAAATGCTTATCATTGACATTAATGAATGACTGGCATCGAATTAGTCTTTCCTGGTCTATATGGCAAATAGTAAATACTTTTGAAGAATTTTTACACAGCTCTTTTACATAGAGGGACAGTTTAATATTACTAAAGTTAAATATCTACCAAAATATCAGTCCATATAACAATGCTCTGCTTTGGTCAGAAAGACTTAGAGTGTAGTGCTGAATGTGGACTCTTTTTATGATGCCTTTCTATTGGTCTTATATTTGTCCTTTTGCAGGAGCTTGACATCTCCTGTCATTTTATTGAATAGAGCTCCAATTGTGGAAAAGAGTATCTTACGATGATGAAAAATACAGTTAAAAGTAATATTGTGAAATATCAACCCTCTACATTGTGAGTAAATCACTTGCATATGTGACTAAATCTTGATTCTGGGCGACTAAATGATGTCTAATATTAGCCAATGGCTAATAAATTCTCAGATTTTACTCGCCAGTGTGTGAGTTGGAGGCTGAGTATAAGTTTAGCACAGATATATTTTCACTCGGTGAACACTCTGACTGAGCGCTTCAGAGTTTCACTCTCAGTCAAGCGGTCTGTGCTTTTTTTTTCAGTTCATCTGAATGGATGCACAGCACACCTGTATTTGATGTACCGTGAACTCTAGTGTAATGGCGCACGACTCGCTGTCGCTTTGGTGAGAGCAGAGAGAGCGATATTACGGTGGCCGAGAGAGCTCAACGCGCTGCAAATTCCGAAAACTCATGCAAATAGAAAAAGCACCAGCAAATTAAGAAAACATCTTCATCAGTTTGACAGCACGTGTTGCAAATACTCGCAACACAATAAAATACAAAAACACGCTGCAAATGCTCACAACACAACCAAATAAAGAAACACGCTGCAAATGCTCACAACACAACCAAATAAAGAAACACGCTGCAAATGCTCTCAACACAACCAAATAAAGAAACGCGCTGCAAAAGCTCACAACACAACCAAATACAGAAACGCAAGTACAGACCACAACGGGAGAACCCAAACAAAACGAATTTGTATTGATTACCATTTGTATAACCACAGTTGTACAAATACCATGGTTAAACTATGGTTAGTGTAGTAAATCCATGGTTAATTTGTGGTTACCATGGTTTAACTATAGTAACCATTTTTTTGTTTTTATTTATTTTTTGAATAAATAAATATATTGTAGAAACTTAATTTTCTGTAAAACTGCTTTGCAATGATTTGTATCGTGCAAAGCGCTATACAAATAAACTTGAATTGAATTTTACATAATAAATGTATTTATTAATGAATTAATTTTAATAGTAAAACCATATGGTTAATTTTTGTAAGGGAACTTGTAAAGTAAG